ATCAACGAAAAATGGCCATTTAAAACGCCTCAAAATGTAACTTTAAAAAAAGGAGTACCAGTGATTTGTGTTTGCAATATATCCAAGCTTGGTATTGTCAACGGCACGCAAGGCGTTGTAAAGTCAGTGAACCTAGAGCGAGTCGTCATTATGGTAGACGAACTACGAATTGTAATCACACCTCAGACAGAAATGCTGTACGACTGTAAAAGAAATGTAATAGCCGAATGCAAAGGAATGCCGCTTGTGTTAGCCTATGCGCTCACTATTCACAAAGTGCAAGGTCTCACTCTTTCTTATGTAGTTATTCATTTAACGAGAAATCAATTTACGTGGCATTTGTTTTATGTAGCTTTGTCGAGAGCGCAAACACGCAAGAGTGTATACATTATTGCTCAGCCGTCTTTTTTTCAAACTTTTTAAAAAAATATTAGCATACATTCAGCTGTAAAAAGTTTTTATTCAAATTTAATTAAACCTACGCCTGAAGAAAATGATTATAAAAAACGCATTAAATTACAAATGTGAAAAAAACGTATTAAATTACAAATATGTGATTTGTTTGTTTTTTTAAAAAATTGTATTTTGATTTTTTTTAAAAAAATGTAAATTGATATCATAAAAAAAATGTTTACTCTTTTTTTTTAATAAATAAAAAAAAAACATTATATGTATTTGCAATTTAATTGAAAAATATATTTTTTTATTAAACTTTTTTATATATATTCAGATTTTTTTGTCGAATTTTATTTGGCTTAGTTAAACCTTTTTTTATTTTGAATAGAAGTTAGAAAAAAAATGGATGAACATAGTTTTAAACACATTCTTACTGCACAATTAAAAAAAGAAATAGAGAAATATCGAGTGCGAGGTAAAGGAGAAATTTTATATCGAAATGAACATGGTTATGAATGGTATGAAGATGAATATGATTGGCGTAAATATGAAGATGATTATTATTCAGCTTGGTATCGCAAAGAGTTACAAAAAAACACTAAAAGAAGTAAAGAAAAGAAATTTGAACAAGAAGAAGTTTAATTTTTTTTAAAATAATTTTTTTTTTAAATATTATATATTCTTAAATACCTATAGAGTCGTTAATTTGTTATAAATTTCGCGGTTACAAATTAAAAAAATTTTTTTGTTGAATTTTTTTGGATTATTTAAACCTTTTTTTTTTAATTTAGAATAGTATTACAAAAACAATAATTAGAAAAAATGAAAACTTTGCAAGAAATTATCAAAACTAAACTAGCCATGGACTACTATCATCAACACGTTGCAACACCTTTTTGTGGCTATTTTATTGATCAACATTCTAATAACATTTGCGCATTATTTCGTTTATCTGCTTATGTTGATTTTATTAAAAGTTTACGCGAACATGACTTTTATGAAATGCAATTTTTATGTGGTGAACTAATTAAGTCATATGAAACTCTCATTCAACAAGATTGGTTAATTTATCATTGGTTAAACAACAAGTATCAACAAGATTTGGCGATTAAACCAGATCCAAATTTTATAATTAATCTTAAAGAACTTATGGTTTTTATAACACGTTGCATTTTCTATATAGAGAATAAATTTTTTATATGTCCAGATTTTGTTTTTAAATATAGTGTTCCAACAAACGTTATTTTTAAGAAATGGTATTTTGATTTTTTTTTTAAATATATTTTTCCAAAATATTATTCAATGTAATTTTTTATTGAAATATTCACATCATTAATATTTATCGTTTTGTTTGCGCGTGCCTACCTCTTTTCCACAACAAAGTCCAAGTCCGAGTTATGTTGAGCGTTTTGTTTGTTTTTTAAAAAAAATTGTCTTATTTGAGTTATTTTCGCCCCCTGTCTCCTAACCCTCCTGATTACGCCTATTTTCACACACACTGATTACGCACCTGTTTATCCACCTGATTACGCCTATTTTCACACTGATTACACCCAATAACATTGATTTTTTAACCTACCTGCTTATCACTTGATTTATGTTTTTATATTTTTCCACCCTACACACCTGCCTCCCACCCTGACACCTACCTACACCCTAACCCTCCTAACTCTCTAACCCAAGTTTCTTTCCCCCCAAAGTTTTATTTTTTATTTTTTTGAAAAAATCCCCCTCTTTTTTTATTTTTTATACCACCACCCCCCCTTTTTAATTTTTATAAGAAGAGAAACACTTTTCTTCTTATTTTTTTTTTTTTAAAAAAATTCTTGTCTATACGTATCATCAAATAGCCAGTCTCTTTTAACTCCTTGGATGTCCATAGACCTATTTAAATCCACAACAATTAAATAAAAACTATAAAATATAGTTATATACTATAAAAACTATATTCTTAAAATTATAAAAATTTATTTGAAAAACAAAAAAACACTCTAAAAAAATTTATTATGCAAAATTATTAGAAAAAACAAATAGAAATACTAAAATATCATATTATTAATGAAATTATTGGAAAAAAACAAAAGTTTAAAAAATATTCAACAAAAAAACTTTTGATTAATAAATACCTAGTTTATCAAAAGTCTTGCTGAGAATCTTCTAATCTTCTTTGATAATATAGGACCAAACTTTTTTAAAACAATTCCGCTGAGCTCAACAAGTTTTAACTTTATTATATTTAACTTTATAATATTTAAAAAGTTATAGTACGCATATGGACGAATCTAATCTTAAAATTTGCGAGTTGATCTTAACAGCCTTAAGGTGGTAGGGGTGCAAATAGACTACTTTCTGAAATTCATTGAAACATTTTTTAGTTTATTAAAACTGTTATATACATTATAAGAAATAGTTTGAGACATATAGTAGATACACCTTAGCATATGTTAAGAGTAAAATAAGGCATATATTAAGAGAGGAAAATAAATAATAAACTTCTGTTCATGGTAACTAGGGACGTTGCTATGGGCACTGATGCTACCTAAGAGTGTTTTAAGATGTAAATATGGACTAAGAAATATTTTTTATTGTTTCCAACGTTAGTTGTATGATATATCAAAGAGAGAAATTCCACATTAAAAAAAAATTCTTAAAATCTTTTTTTTGATCATTTATTTACATCACTACTACCATAAAAAGAATGAAAGTGCTGGTTTTGATAAAATTAGCGCCAATGTTATAATATATGTACTTGATGTCATTGAAGCATCTTTATTACATGTCTTTAAACTATCTTTAAAATCAGGTGTTGTTCCAGATAAGTTAAAAATTCCCCAAATCACACCAACTTTTAAGAGTGGAGATGCTTCCAACATTTCAAACTACAAACCGATTTCTATCTTGCTTTGTTTTTCAATGATACTTAAGCGTATAATGTACACACAGGCTCTATGATTGTCTGACAAAAAACGACATTATGTATAAAAAACAGATTGGTTCCAAAAAAAAGCATTCAGCCGATACATTTCATTTCTCTTTAACATTTATAAAAACTTACTTAAAATACTGCTTTTAACCATAAAAAGGTGTCGGTTACTTGCCTTTCTTCGTGGCTATGAAAACGAACATGTTTAAAGCAGGCGGTCTGGGGCAAGATAATGAACAATTAAAGGAATATTGTGACCGTCCAATAAAAGAATAGATCCAGTTCTGTAAATGATAAGAGTAATGGCAGTGAGAAATGTTCCTTTTAATATCATATTATTCCCAAGGCCTATAACTATTATATTCTTCCCCCAGGCCGAAATCATATTGCCCGAGTACCAAAAGCTAATGGTTTTTCCATAACCTTAACTCTTCATTTTGATAAGAAAATTTATTATCTTTTTTATAAAAAAATTTATATAAAAATATTTTAATTATATTTTTTCATAAACTTAACAAATTGTCATCTTGCCACGGGCGAGATGACAATTTTTTATGGTTGTGAATAAAATGAAATTAACTTTCGTTTTTTTTACTATAATAAGTAAATTCTAAAATATCTAAAACCATTAAGGACTACTCTAACATATTCAGGTAAAATTAATTTTACTATGCCTAAAAATAAACTATTAAAAAACAAAAATTGTTAACATCATCTTGCCTCGGTCTCCCTTACATTTCTGTTTTTTTCATTCAAAATTTCAAAATTTTTACTTAAGAAACATTTGATAATTATTTTTGAAAAGATCTTAAAAATTCTGACAGCACGTTCTACTTATCAGTTTTTTAGTCTTAAATACATTAGAACTGCATCAAAAGATATTAGCATAGTTTTAGTTTGTTTAAAAAGTCTATTTTGTTTTTTTTGTTTTCAAGGATAGTTTATTTGTTTTAAACCTTTAAACCATTCCGTTTGATTTAAAAACTCTTTGTTAATTATTTTAGACACATTTGAAAAGCCAAAGAGTTGAGTATACATAATTTGCTCTAATGTTTTCGAGAGACAAAAGAGATTTGAAATTGGCCTTAACCTTACAGGATTTAAAAACAGATATAACTCTCAAATTATATCCAATTTAATGCTTGTTTATTAAATATAATATCTTATAAAAACGTTCAGAATATTTACGGTGTGTACGGGTAGAAAATAGTTCAACTCAGGTAAAAAAAAAAGTAATCAATTAGTTACTACTTGCGGTTTAGACTTATAAATAACAAAATCCTGACAACTATTCACGACTAATTTATTTAAATATATGGAAGTTTAATAATTTCCAATTAAAGATTGCGCAGTGTTGATTATGAGAAGGACTGAAAGTTTTTTCCCTTTTTTCATTTGTTTAAAAAAATAGGATAAAATTACGAAAAAAAACTATTCCTCAATACAAACGCTGCTTAATTTTCCTTTTTTTAATTAACTAAATTTATTAAAGTAATTAGTATTGTAAACGTCTTTTACAAAATTAGTACGTAAACGTTCTTGACCTCCTCCCTGTCAATAATTGTCAAAATATTTCAGACCCCCCCTCCTTCTTCCTATTTAGTTGTCATTATTTATGGACAGTTTCAAATCAAAATAACTGGATAAATAATAAGTGGATTTAAAAACAACTTAAAAAAAATCTTTTTAACAATTTCTTTCGGTTAAACAATAAAAACAAAACATCAGGTAATCGTCTCTTTGAATTTGAGCAATTTATTAATGACATACACATGACAACCTAAAAATAAAAAAAGTATTAATAAAATAGTAATGCAAAGTATATTGAGTTACAAAAACCAATACCAAATACACTTTGGTAATTTTTAAACCAAGACTTAATTAAAATCTTATACAATAACAATTTATTTTTGGTGACATGTCAACTTTCTCAATGTACTAAGTATTTTTTTCTTTTGTTTTAATTTTTTTTTCCAGTTCTTTTAGATTTAAACGTAGACATAAGTTTTAATGATTTTTTTTGATATTGTAATTTTTTAAAAATACTTTCAATACTGTGTTTATTTAGACTTTTCAAATTATAAATTTCCACTTTTCACTACGAAAAATCAAATGAAAAGTTAAATAAAAAATTTCTTCTTTTTATCATTTATAACAATAAATATAATAATAAAAACATACTTAATTTTTTCTTGTCCATTTTGCAGATAGCACCAGGTGTCTGTAATTTTTGCAAGCATTTCAACAACTGATTTAAGTAAATGCACAAACATACATACTATATGGTCATTTAAAAAGCATTTTTGAAAATGAAAAACATACCCAGCTAAAGTAGTCGCAAATGCAAAAACAGTTGTAAAAAATCAACATTTGATAAATGAAATTTAAAACCTTATTGAAGTCGAAAATATTTTGATTGAGGAAAAAGAATGCAAGTATAAAACAGGATTGAGATGAACTAAGGTTTAATTGTTCATTATACAAATCTTTGTTTTTATTTCTTAGCTTTACGTATATAAACGTGTAGTTTTTTGTAATTTTCTGCAAAACTTTGATTAAAGTTAATCTCTATAGCCCAATGTAAAACTGTGTAAAATAAGGAGAGTAGAGAAATGCACTATGTTAAAATTTATTTTAATAAAAAACATAAGTTTTATTTATAACTTATTTTAATTTCAAGATAAAATAAAAGTTAAGTAAAAGAATACTAACTAATAAAAATAAAAATAGGAGAAAAATAATGAAATGTGATACATGGTGATGACCTAAAATGTGGTACCTGATGATGACCTGGAGTGTGGTATTTGATGATGATCTGAAGTGTGGTATTTGGTGATGATCTGGAATGTGGTACAGGTCTTTACTGGTTTGAAGAAGCAAAAATAATGACAAGTTGGATAAGTTATTGAAAGAAATAATAAAAAGTAAACTATAAATAAAAGAAAGAGATGAAAAAAGTTAAACAATATGTGGAAATAGGGTCTAATGTGGCAGTTTAATTAACATTCAGCATATAGAGACTGTCTAAAAAATAAGTTCGGGTTAAGAAATAATTTTGAATTATAAAATACAAGATTGTGAAATTAAGATAACAGCTATTTGCAACCAAACTATGAGAATATTGCAAACATTCTTTATAAACTTAAAAGAGAAAATCATATACAAAACAATAAATTGAAAACAATACTTTAAAACTAAGTTTATAACAATTTTAAAAAACTTTAATATTTTAAAATTATTTATTTTTTAATGGTTATTAAGTAATAATTTAAAAAATTTTAATGATTAAATAATATTAAAATAATCAATTAGATATTAATTAAACTTATCAAACATCTCCCCTCTCATGAACCATGCATAGCCATAATCTAAATATCTAAATTACATAGGTTTTTTATTATTAATTTGTAGAAAACACAGAATACTAATTTATTCAATTTTAAATAAATAAAAACTAAGAAAAAAATCTTTAAGCAAATATTCTAATAATAGTTAATATTCAAAAACTGAGGAAAATATTATTGTGAGTTACTGAAATTTATTTACTAATATATATTTACTAAATATACATTTATAAATACTTACTGGAGATAATTTAATAATATGTGACCTAATCTGGAACCAAGGACTCTAAGATGATTATCAATTTTTTTTTATTGTAATTATTAACAAATTGTAACCCTTAGAATTAGGCTCGAAATTCAAAAATGCTAGTCTGGAATATTTTTTTCCTCATTCAGTGATAATAGAGTTTCTCATTACATACCGTAGGGAATGTCCTTCTTATTATATGCGGTTGGGAATACTAAAATATTTTGTATCTTAAAATAAATCCATTGTCGCAGATTAGGTCACAGTAATTTTTTATTTTTACCACACATTTTTAACAGCTATAAACTCAAACAAATTTCTCTATTCTTTTAGACTTTTAACTTTAAAAATCTAATTAAAACTTCTAACAAGATAAGTTTGTATATATATATATATATATATATATATATATATATATATATATATATATATATATATATATATATATATATATATATATATATATATATATATATATATATATGTATATATGTATATATATATATATATATATATATATATATATATATATATATATATATATATATATATATAGTGACAAAAAAAGAAAAAATTTAAATGCGGAGTATAAAATCCATGCCAAATAAAATATTTTATTTACTTGATAAATATTAAAACTAAAATATTCCCAAGAACTAAAAAGAACAACATTAAGCAATGCAGCTCTAAATAAAAAAGAACCAACAAAAACATGAGAAAAAAATTTAACTTTATTGAGTCTTTATTGAAGCAAGAAAATTTATGTATTTTAAAAATTTAATTTTTATGATTAATGTAACTTTTTAATGATCCCAAAAACCTCAGTTGATTTATATTTTTAAACCTTACTGAATAGTTGGTTCCATTTTATCTAAACTTTTGAAAATTTTTTATTCATAAATATAAACTGATAAAAAAAATATTCTAATCATGACTGCTAAAAAAACATTGCATTACTTTAACTTCTTTCATGGTTTATACGTGTTCTAATTTGGGTAACTGTAAAATTTTCTAATAAACTACTGTTTTGAAGAACATCGACTATTCGAGTTCGAGAAAGAGGTCCTCCCAAAATTAGATCTTTCCCATGGTTTTTTAAATCATTTAGTTGCTCTGCTGACCAGCTTTTTCTATCGTAACTCAAATGCCTTTTTGTCTAAATTAAATACTATACCTATACATTACATATATACATGTATATACATATTTCTAAACTAAAAATTTAAAAAATTAGCTAAATTAATATTTAACAAAGCAACCTTTGTGTCTATTTCTGTGGCAGTGCATTTTCTCTTGATGCTTTTTAATTTATCGTACACTTGTCTTGGAGAACATTTAAAACTATTGGATGGTGAATCAGCAAGTGAAGATCTAACTTGGCTGTATGTTATATTTTGATTTTCTGGGAATAGTGAACTTAATAATGAGGTCTCTTCATTACTCCATATTTTTTTTGGAGTATTAAATCTTTCTTGATTATTATTGATTGGAGAATGAGAAATAAAATCAATGTTTGATTTTGATGGTGAAGATTGAAAACTTTTTCTTATTATATCGCTTCCTTTAACAGCTTGGTCCAACTGATTTTGTGTTTCATAATGGACCGCTGCAGTTTTTTTGCTATGTGCCATGGAAGCTGCCACAATACCTCTCTGTTTATAAAATGGACTACTTTCATCATTTACCATAGTGGATGTTGTTTTCCGAACTATGTTAGCTGATAATTTTTTAGGAATACAACGCCCATCAAAAATACCAGCCTTTTCCCATAAGGAGTTTAATCTGCCACTAATATCTCCGGGGGACATTTCATTTCCAGACCAAGATAAAAAAACTTTTTCTGAATTAATAGTTGGTAACTTTGGTCTAATAAATTTAACAAATATTTCAAACCATTCGAACTCTAATGGATTTAGTGTTACTCGAGCTGGACCATACTTTGAAACGGTTTTGTGATCCCAAACACTTACCACTCGAATGCCATTATCCAAAACTTTGTGTCTTGCATACTCTTCCATGCTCATATGAGCAGTAACACCAGATCTGTGGGCACCACAAAAATGAACAATATAAATCATATGGTCCCTATATGAACAATACTCAAACTGAGATAATGGTTTAGCATTATCAATTTTTAAACAGCCTTGCAGTTCTTTGGCAAATAATGCATTTTTGCTGTTTTCATATTTTTTTATTTGATCTGGTGTAACAAGCATTTCATAGTCATCTTCTGCTTTTTTATATTTTTGTAGATTAGCTTTAGCTTTATATTTTTTTTTCCAATTTTCTATGTTCATAATTGTTTTATAAATATCTTCAACAGAGAGATTAGGCGGCTTATTTTTTGATGCTGAAAGGAATAAACAAAAATCTTTTAATGAATTTAAGTAAGTTTTTATTGAGCCTGCTTCTAATTTTCGCTCAACACAATATTTTTGAAGATAATGATTTCTTATGATATCTGTATCATTTTCAAAAAGTACATTAACAGATGATGTTGCATTAACAGCAAGTAAAATTCTTTTGACATCCTCTCTAACCCTCGCAAGAGATCTAGAGCTACGACCTCTATCTGGACCTGTGTAAAAATTGTAAAAATCAGATAGCAAAGTTTCAACGGATGAGTTCAATTTAACTTTTGATGACTGATTTGAAATTTCCTCTGTATCAGAAAAAACATAATCAGAGTCATTATCATTGTCACCATTATCATTGCCAACATCATTGTAATCTTCATTTAAACAATATGTAGTTGGGACATTAGATACTCTAGGTCTTAGTTGAGGCAATGTAGAAATTGGAATAGTTAGATTTTCCATATTAGAATGCTGAGGTTTTTCTGTATTTGAAGAGGTTGGATTGTATAAAAAACTGTCATTATTTGAAGATACATTTTTAGAGTTGATTGATGAAACTGTTGGTTTATAGATCTCAAGAGCTTTACTGGGAGATTCATTACTTATCTCTATCCCTTTGTATATTTTTGCACTTTTTAAAAGTGCGTAATATTCTTTCCCAGGATGAATATTGTGAGCCTTACTCTTTAGATGTTCACCAATATTTTTTGTAACTTTGTAGCAGTTTGGAACTGGAAATGTTTTTTTTTTATGATAGTTTTTAAATTTTAATGGAGAAGATTTTTTTTTATAAGGTTTTCTCAAGTTAAAAACCCCAACAACACTCTTGCTACTTGCTATAGACCAATTATGTTCAAGTGCCATATGACTAGGAAGATCCAAAGTAGATATGTTACATTTAAAGCAGTTTTTCATATACTGATCTCTAACAACAAAAAGAACTAAATATTTAAATATTAAAAATCTTTACAAGCTGGTTAAATCAAACAGTTATTAATCTAAACTATAAACACAAAGAACAAATACTAAAATCAATTTAAACTGTAAAATTATTTATTCTTTAATTAAATTAATCTTACTTCAAAACTGAAGCTTTGGAATTTTTTTTTGACACTTCAGGAATTGTTACAAATTTTTGAAAACTACTTTCTACACTAGATGTTAAGCTAAAACAAAATCATAAATACAAGAAATCTATTAATTCTTCATAACTTCAATTGAAATTGGACAACTAATTAAGAATTTGTATGTAAACATACTTTAAAATTTGAGCTTCAGAAATAATAAGTTGAAAAATGAAATCATATAAGATTATTGAATCTAAAAATGTATTACTTTAATTACTTCAATTAAAAGTAACTAATTGAAAGTAATTGAAATTGAAAGTAAGCTAATTAAAAATGTTTATGGCAACATACTTGGACTTGCAACCAAATCTCCAAAAGTTTCTTGGAATTCATTACTAGATGTTAAACTAAAAAAAAATTATAGAAGATTATTTAATAAAAAAATTTATTACTACTTCATTTCTCAATTGAAAGTAGACAACAGGTTAAAAAAGTTTATGTAAATATACTTTAAAATTTGAGCTTCAGAGCTAATAACTTGTAAAGCAGTAGGACTTGCAATAAAATCTACAAAAGTTTCTTGGAATTCATCACAAGATGTTAAGCTAAAACAAATTATAGAAGATTATTAAATACAAAAATCTATTACTACTTTGTTTCTCTAATTGAAAATGGACAATTAATTAAAAAAAGTTTATGTAAACATACTTTAAAAGTTGAGCCTCAGAGCTAATAACTTGTAATGCGGGACTTGCAACCAAATCTCCAAAAGTTTCTTGGAATTCATTACTAGATATTAAACTAAAAAAAAATTATAGAAGATTATTTAATAAAAAAATTTATTACTACTTCATTTCTCAATTGAAAGTAGCAACAGGTTAAAAAAGTTTATGTAAATATACTTTAAAATTTGAGCTTCAGAGCTAATAACTTGTAAAGCAGCAGGACTTGCAATAAAATCTACAAAAGTTTCTTGGAATTCATCACAAGATGTTAAGCTAAAACAAATTATAGAAGATTATTAAATACTAAAATTTATTACTACTTATAGAAGATTATTAAATACAAAAATTTATTACTACTTCATTTCTCTAATTGAAAGTGGACAACTAATTAAAACTTTGTATGTAAACATACTTTAAAATTTGAGCATCAGAGCTAATAACTTGTAAAGCGGGACCTGCAACCAAATCTACAAAAGTTTCTTGGATTTCATTACTAGATGTTAAACTAAAAAAAAAATTATAGAAGATTATTAAATACAAAAATTTATTACTACTTCATTTCTCTAATTGAAAGTGGACAACTAATTAAAACTTTGTATGTAAACATACTTTAAAATTTGAGCATCAGAGCTAATAACTTGTAAAGCGGGACCTGCAACCAAATCTACAAAAGTTTCTTGGATTTCATTACTAGATGTTAAGCTAAAACAAAATCATAGAAGATTATTAAATACAAAAATCTATTACTACTTCAGTTCTCTAATTGAAAAAGGACAACAAGTTAAAAAAAGTTTATGTAAACATACTTTAAAATATGAGCCTCAGAGCTAACAACTTGTGAAGCAGCAGAACTTGCATTAAAGTCTTTAAAAGTTTCTTTGCATTCATTACTAGATGTTAGGCTAATACAAAATTAAGCAAATTTACTCAACCCCAAAATCTATCACTTCTTTGTTACTTCAACTGAAAGTGGACATCTAATTAAAAAAATTTATATAAACATAATTTGATGTAGTAGTGTGGGAAGTAACAACTTTCAAAACTCCAGGGTTTGATACAAATAATGCATTTTTGTTTACACCAAGTCATGCTCCAACTCTCCCATTTAACATTTAATGACGTAAATAAGATTAATGAAAAGCATTTAACCACACAATGGTATCGATTATATATACATATGGTATAAGTATGAAACCTTCATTAATAAAAACCAAAGAAAATAGAAGCTATTACTCTGTAATTAGCAGTTTTAGAAGTTATAATTTGGAAACAATAAATATTTAATTTGGAAACAATAAATTTTAAAATCAAAACTTTTTTAAAATAATACAAACTTGAACGTAAAATACATGAATAAAAAAAGGAAAATAAATAAAATACTTTTTAAAACTGTTAAACACAATTATTTGGTTAATTAAAATGTTTTTAATATTTTAACTAAATAAATATTGAAAAAAAATTTATTTATATTTATAGTTAAAATATAAAGAAAAAAATGTTCTCTCTCTCTCCGTATATATATATATATATATATATATATATATATATATATATATATATATATATATATATATATATATATATATATATATATATATATATATATATATATATATATAAATATATATATATATATATATGTATATATATATATATATATATATATATATATATATATATATATATATATATATATATATATATATATATAGAGAGAGAGAGAGAGAGAGAGAGAGAGAGAGAGCCAAATGATCAGTAAAGCGCAATTGAAATAATTATTTGAATAAAATTAATAACACTTTTAAAATGTTTGTTTTACATGTTTTGAACTACATCATCAGTTAAATTTACAAAAATCATTAAAAAAACGTTTTTATTAGGGATACAAGTTAATTACTTTATAACAAAAATCTATTATAAAAATCATTAAATCACAAAAGGTTAAAAAGGCCATTAAAATACAGTAACAAAATGTCTCAAAACTCAATTTAAAAAAACATAATAGGTACAAATTGTTAAAAAAAAATTTTCTCAAAATTAATGTCATAATAGTCAAAACAGTTCAAGAATTCTATGTTTTACTTGACTATTTAATAGTTTGAGAACTCCAGGTTTGACTTGTTTATTTTAACTGGGCCTTTGCCACTTTATATGCAAGCTTTCCTTTATTTCTAATTCATACTCACTTTGAGCAGAATCAAAAATAGAAAAGCAATCAGAGGAGGCTTTCCTTTGACACTCAATGTTTTTCATTAAATGATGAAAAATGTAAGATTTTTTTATCTTCCTTGAAATGTTCATCAATGCGTTGTGAAAATATTTGGACAGTTTGTCCTATATAGTAAACATTACAGTTAGCACAATAAGGTTTGTAAACAATGTTTAATTTACTATTTCTTGAAAGTAAGTCTTTTAATAAAAAATATTGCTTAATTTTAAAAGAAGAAAACAATAATTTGATAATTAAATCTTTTTTACATAACTTTTTAGTTAATTCATTAATTTTGTTTTGAATATTTCTAAAACCATCACCTATATATGGCATTCTAAAATATTTGTAACTAAGGGATTCGTTATTGTTGAATTTAGATATAACAAGTTTTTTATTTAAATAGTTGTTTATACATATATAAATAAGTCTAATTGGATATTGTTTTTTTAATAAGACTATTTTTAGGTTAATAATATCTTTATGGTAACCAAACCAGGTACTATTAATTTTAAAACAATGGCCAATAAGAGTTTTAACTAGCCAAAGTTTGTAGCTAATTAGGGTAAAGATAAAAAAAAATTGTCCAGTATATGTCTCCTTATAGTAAATATTAATGATCAAATCATGGTTATTTTCAATGCAAACATCCAAAAAATGGTAAAATACCATTTTGTTCATGTTCAGATGTAATTTTGATATAAGGATGTTTAGAATTTAAATACTCTAGAAAAATAGTACAATTGGTTTTTGAGTAAAATAATGCAAAAATATCATCTACATATCTTTTATTAAATAATGGTTTTTTCCGGTTAAATTCATTTAAATAATTACTTTTTAAGTTCCCCATGACTAAATTGGCTAAAGCAGGAGCAAGAGGAGACCTTATAGCTACACCATCAATTTGATCATAATATTTACCACAAAACAAAAAATGAGAATTACATGTTGCAAACCTAAATAATTTCTTTTTATGTTGAAAGTTTATTCACTGATATTGTATCCACTTGCTCCTGTTTTAGCCAAATCATTTATGAGGAACTTAGAAAGTAATTATTTAAATGAATTTAACGTGAATAAACCTTTATTTACTAAAATATAAGTAGATGATATTTTGCATCATTTTACTCAAAAACCGATAGTACAATTTTTCAAGAGTATTTAAATTCTAAATATCCTTATATCAAACTTACATGTGAACATGAACGAATTAGTAATTTACCATTTTTTAGATGTTTGCATTGAAAATAACCATGATTTGATCACTAATACTTACTATAAGAAGACATATACTGGACAATTTATTTTAGCTTTAACCTAATTAGCTACAAACTTTGGCTAGTTAAAACTCTTATTGACCGTTGTTTTAAAATTAATAATACCTGGTTTGGTTACCATAAAGATATTATTAACCTAAAAATGGTCTTATTAAAAAATCAATATCCAATTAAACTTATTTATAAATGTATAAACAACTATTTAAATAAAAAATTTGTTGTATCTAAATTCAACAATAACGAATCCCTTAGTTACAAATATTTTAGAATGCCATATATAGGTGATGGTTCTAGAAATATTCAAAACGAAATGAATTAACTAAAAAGTTATGTAATAAAGATTTAATTATCAAATTATCGTTTTCTTTTTTTAAAATTAAGCAATACTTTTCACTAAAAGACTTACTTCCAAGAAATAGTAAATCAAACATTATTTACAAACTTAATTGTGCTAACTGTAATGTTTGCTATATAGGACAAACTGTCCAAATATTTTCACAATGCATTGATAAACATTTCAAGGAAGATTAAAAAATCTTACATTTTTCATTATTTAATGAAAAACATTGAGTGTCAAAGGAAAGCCTCCTCTAATTGCTTTTCTATTTTTGATTCTGCAAAAAGCGAGTATAAATTAGAAATAAAAGAAAAATTCCTCATAAAGTGGCAAAGACCCTGTTTAAGTAAAAAAGTCAAACATAGAATTCTTAAACTGTTTTGACTATTATGACATTGATTTTATGAAACTTTTTTTTTTAACTATTTGCACCTATTATGTTTCTTTTAATTGAGTTTTGAGACTGACGTAATTTGTTATTGTATTTTAATGGTCTTTTTAACCCTTTGTAGTGAATTTTATAATAGATTTTTGTAATAAATTAATCTATTTGTATCCCTTATAAAAATGGTTTTTTTGGTATATATATATATATATATATATATATATATATATATATATATATATAATATATATATATATATATAGTTATTCACAAATAATTATTTAAAATATACTTATTTGCGAATAACTTTCATTTAGTAAGTACTTAAGAGTAGAATAAAATACAAATATTGAATGAATAATTGAATTTAAAAGTTTACAAAAAGAACAAATATATCTTACCTTGATGAAAACTCTTTTTTTTTCGACACCTATAAACACTCAAGATAATATATACAGCTCTGATCAAATTATTAGCCTACACTAATATTTTTTGTCTTTTTTTAAGTAAAACTTGTTTTATTTCAAATTTTATTTGAATTACAAATAATAAAAATATAAACATTATATTTATATAAAGTATAATCATTTTGCAACATGAAATACACAAAATAGTTACAAAAATATGTTTATAGCATAGATAAATAATATTTTTATTATCCTCTATTTTCACTCAAAGGTACCTTTGACTACACTTAGGCATTAGTTACACTAAGATATTTCTGCACATATAAATGCAATTTAATTTTAAAATAGCCTATATAATAGTCCTATATAATTCTGGGGTTGTTCCTGATTGTTCAAGAAGTCAATAGCTTTTAAAAGACATTTGCAGTGTGGCATAGAGCTGCATATAGTATAAATATGATCCTTATGTTATTTGGAAATCAATCACTCAATAGAGGTAAAAAATGAGTTTTAATTACTTTTTCTTCCTGTTTTATTATTTCATTCACAATGTACAGTAAGGTGGTTCAAGTTTTTTATTTTTTGGATCCAGGAGTGCTCATAATATGTTTTTATCTATTATAAAATTTAAAACAATAATTTTTTCTCTTATTAGTTTTGTCTTTTGATGATGCAGGGCAATTTAAACATGTCAATTTTACTCATCAAATTAGCAAAGCTTATGTGAATTCTATTTTCCGAATATGTTCAGACATGAAAATTTAACACCAATTTTAGTGTTTTATTATTTTTTACCACTTTTGCAAAATGCAATTCAAACACAATAATAAAATGGATCATTTTAGATTTTACAACAAGTAAAAAATAACTGGTAAAACATTTTATATAGTGGAAATAATATAAAAAAGGGTGATTCATAAAATTTAGCTATAAAAATTTGTAGATGCTGGGTATATTGTCTCTAACCAAAACTATTTTAAATTATTATTAAAATAAAAAAATTTGATAAAACATCAAAAACACTTTTTTAACATTTGAACAGCCACAAAGAGTAATATATATATATATATATATATATATATATATATATATATATATATATATATATATATATATATATATATATATATATATATATATATATATATATATATATATATATATATATATATATATATATATATATATATATATATATATAATAAAAATAAAAACAAATCAAAAATCAAAATAATCAAAAACCTTTTTAAATTCACACCCTTGTGAAGCAAATACCTGAAAAATCCAAAATCAAATTTATACTAAATACTTCAGAAAACTTAAAGTTATACTAAAAAACTTTTAAAATATGCTGGTAATATAAATATACTAATACAATTTGATTAAAAAAATCTCACCATTGATGGAGTGATAAAAACTTTTCTTTGCAAATCCTTTTTTTAACAAAAAAGCTATATTATATAGGTTTTATAAAAATCTTATCCAATTTTCATTATAATATTAAGTACAGTAAACTGCTGATAACTTTGAGTTATTGCGACATTCTTTAAGTCAAAATTTTACAGATAAATAAAAATAAATTGGATTATAAAATTTATTAAAAAATAATTTGATCTGAAGGGTAATTAAAATGCCTAAAAAATTAAAATGTCCTAATTATTAATTCGGAAGTAAAGCTTTTTTCAAATAATATTGAGAAAATTAATCAAATTCAATTAAATGAAAAAAAAATATTCACTTTCATTAAGATTTTTTATTTATGCTCTAAAGTTTGAATACAAAATTACACTTGGACTACAATATAAAATTGCACTTGGAGCATATAAAATTGCACTGGGCAAATTTTTGAGTTATGAGGGGTTCAAGTTATAAAGTGGTTTTAATAGAAAAGTGTTAGTGAGAGTTCACAAAGAATGTGATAACAATTCAAGCTACAAGAAGTTTGAGTTATTAATGGTTTGAGATATCAGGAGATTACTGTAATATCAAATATTGTAATACAACCTAATAATTTTAAATATACAACTATAATGTAAACCATTTAATTTAATGAAACAAACCTTTCCATGTAAATATGCTTTAATATCATCAATCGTGAAAGGTTGCAAATATTTTTTCTTTAAAAAAAAACAAAAAAGAATAATATATTTTACTGTTGTGACCAAAACCATTAAACAAGTTTTATGGGGAATTGAGGAAACTAATTGCGATTTTATTTGCTAACAAATAAAGTTATTCAATTAAAAAAAGTACTATAATTTTTTTTTTAAAGTTAAACATTTTATATATTTAGAAAAGAATAAACATTTGTTTAATATTTACAAAACCATTGTTTTATTAAACATTTTCAATATTTTTGTAGTAAACCTGATAATTTTTATAATTTGGAAGTGTTTTTTGTTGTTAAATTTTTACCTAAAGCCTAATGAATTGTGTTAAATATGTACCTGCAATATAAATACTAAATGAATTTAAATTTATAATGTAAAAATAAATAATTTACATTTTTTCGCCAACATTGATTAGAGCCATCTCCATAATTATAACGTAGCTCTGTATCTTTCGGAATATACTTTTTAGCAAATAACATGAGACATTCTTTTCCATCTATGATGCATGTCTTTGGCATACAATTTGAAAATTTTTCAGGAGCATCATTAATGTAACGTCCCAAACATTGTGAGTCAGTAGCATCAATGCTAAATAGAGATAAATGAACTTGTTAAATAAATATTAAACAATATAAAGTGATAAATATATTAAAATAATAGATCATCTTTTATTTAGTTTTAGTAATTTAATATATAAGCAAAACTGGTTAGGAAAAAGGAACTTCCTGATTTAATGCACTTCAACAGTGCTCAGTGATAAGGTAGTTTGCCCTTTTAACTACAAAAATCTTAAAAACAAAAAATAATTAATTTATATATTACTTATTTAATTATTAAATGTTTGATAATGCAAGATGCAAGGAACTCCACGAAGATTTACATAACAATATAAACATTTATAATATTATGTAATATTCAAATCAGATCCTAATTAAACTGGTTTCAAATTTTTATAAATTAGAAGGACTAGATCCTTTTTAGAAAATTTAAATTAAATTTCATTTAAATGTCTTTTTTGCTTAATATTAAAGAAGGGAATTTGGAAACCACTTTCACTATGTATAATATTTTAGAAGGAACTGTTAAAGGTTAACAAAATCTCATACCTCATTTTTTTATTATTCAAATAAAGATCAAAAATAAAACATCCTTTATTTTGCATAGCATATTTTTGGCTGCGTAGTTTAGCTTCATTTCTTGAAATAGTTTCACCTTTATATTCAAGTAAAGCATCGCCAGCTTTGAATTCTTTTTTTGTAAATACTCCGTATCCTTTAAAAATTATAAAATTTATTAAACCACAAAGTATATATAAATGTGCAACGAGTATATCTACACATGCTTTAGGATTCATTAAATCACAAAGTATATACAAACATGCAATAAGTATATCTAGACATGCTGGGAGTAAATCTATAAGTATAGATTGATAGGTTGGGGGTGGGGCACCAATTCTAATCACTTTTTTAACATAACCTTTATAATCAAAATAAGCAACTTACCAATTACATTATCTATGAAAATCTTTTGAAAATCCTCTTCTTTATAACTAATATCATAGAACTTTTCTTGAACTGATGGTGAACTTTTACGTCTTCTCTTAAATACAATAACTAGTTTTAATATAATTTAACTTACTTTACATACTATACTAACGCATAAAAAGATTTGTGCATTTATTGGTAATAATTATGAGATTTTTGTAAAGAAATTTTTGAGTCTTGAGTAAAATAATTAAGAGATATTTGTAATAATTAAGAGTAAAAGAAATTTTAGATGTCACAACAAATGTGTGTGCGTTATTTAAACACTTACATTTGGGTAGGTTTTTTGAAGGTCCATTTTCTTCATTAAATAAATAAAACTATACTTAATTTGAGTATAATAAACTATACTATGAACTAATCTATATATTTTAACTCAGATGATTGCGGTTTGCTATGATTAAAAAGTAGGTTTTGTAATTAAGACATGTGCTCGTAAGAAATCGTTCTTATCTTATGAGAAATCGTTCCTGTTTCTAGGAAATAGTTTTTGAAGAAATCGTTCCTACGGCTTTTTTCCAAGAAATCGTTCCGATTTTAAAGTTGATACTAAGTGTAGTTATGGCGACTTACAAATAATTCGAATTCGTTTATTTGGAATTAGCATGGTTTTATAAGCGTATTATGTCAAAACAAGAGCTTGAGATGGTATATTTTTTTTTTGCTTTAGGTTTTTTTCAATATTTAAAGAAACTTTTTTTAAATATAAGTTTCGAAACCTCTTTACTACCGTAATAGTGAATATAAAGAACACCATTTTGGAGTCTTCATTCCGCTCATCGGGGTTAACATGAATTAAGTTGAAATCTTTTTAAAAAGTTCCTTAATTTACTATAGATCCTCGTTCTAATCGGTTCTGACGTTTATTAAACATATAAAGTTGTCAAAACACAATATTTCTATCAAATTTTTACAAAAAATACTAGAATTCCGAAAAAATTGCCAATAACCGATCAGAATAGATCATATTGTTAAACTATAATGTTCATTTCACCTAAAAAACGTATTTATTTAAAAACTTATTAAAACTTGGAGAAGCGATTGTAATTTTAAGAAGATTTAAAAAAAAAAAAAAAAAAAAGAATCTTTGGTCTGGGTTTTTTCGCTATTAACATTTATTTTTTATGATACCGCAAAATCTATCATTTTAATTTTATTTGTCTTTTTATAATTCACAGACCTGATCTTTTAACGAAAATATGTCGCAGACAATAAAATATAATACAGACGCTATAATATTTTTAAATTACCCTAACTTCACCGAGTAGTTTGTTAAGTGTAGTAGGAACGATTTTATTTTGGTACCAATATATATTTTGGTAACAAATATTGTCAAATAGCTAAGTCGGCTTAGCTACTTGTTTACAATTTACGTAATTAAACAGCAAAGCTGGGTAAAAGCTCAAAAATGTGATACTTGATTTCATAACACCATTAGTGTATTTTTATTTTTAACTGGAACCATTTTAAAACTTCAAAAAATTCAAACAAGAAGGGCATAGTTTAAAAGATAGTGCTCGTCGGAAGGGGCAGCCGTTGTCAATTATTGTGCAGGACAGGGCAAGAGCTGGGAATTTCTCGTTTGTCTTGAGTGCTCAGCTTATTATAAAAAAAAATTTGTTTTAATAAATATTTGGAAATTCAAACCAATAGCTTGATATCATAAACTTGATATATTTGGAAAACAACAAAAAAAAATCAATGCAAATAGTTTTACTTTTTAGTTAAACTCCTCATATCTAACATGTAGTTATAAGTTTATAAAAAATGATGTATAAAAAATTCAGGAATTCAGGAAATCAATTCAAGTAAAGAAAATATTGTTATCTGTATGCTAATTTTGTAAACTTTTTCATAATATATAATTGCCATCATATATTACTGATGTTCAATAATTTGCAAATGTTTATTACATATAACACCAATGTACAATAACACATTATTTGTACATAACACATTATATGTACAATAACACATTATTTTGAGGTAAAGACACTTACACTGTAAGCTAAAGGATACAAAACCAAAGTTTTTCAAAATGATATTATTGTGTGTAGTTAAAAAATAAAATGTTGGAGGATGGTTTTACAAAAACTTGTAAACAGGGTACAACTACTAATTGAACTTTTGTCTTTTAACAAGTGTAGTTATTGTTACAATTTCAAAACAATTAATTCTCAATTTATTTTCAGTCAAGTAAATAATAAACTACTTAGATTTTTATTTTTTTTTTGTTCATCAGTTTCTCAATTAAGAAAATAGGCACAATTTGATGTAAAAAAACAAGAATTAATTATAATAAAAATGATTTCATTCAATTTATGAAGGTGCATAACTTGAATAAATTGGTATTTATCTTAAAGGACGCTGTTTATTGTCATTTTATTACTTTTAATTTGTAGCTTTTTTACGTCAAACTAAAATTTAGTTTTTAATATTTGGGAAGGTTGACAATAAACAGCTAAAAATTTTTTAAAGAAATTTTTACATTAAAAGATATTTTGTTTATCGTCGCCATTGATTAATTTAAACCTGTATGTTGTATACTTTTCAAAATAAAGTATATAGAAAATAGAGTTAGATGGACCAATGACACGGTTTTTAAAGCAGGATTGGGTAAAATTAGTGACAACTCCTTGATTTTAAAAAAATCTCCTTTATTACTAACTTAATAACAAGGCTCTGGAGAAAAATGTTAGGACACGGGTCTATACAGTAACCTCCTTCAAAGTTTTAATTTTTAATATATTGTTGTTATTCATACTTGAATCTATTTCAACTGATTATTGTTTATCGACTAGTTGATACCAAACTTAGTAGAATTGTAAATAAAATTATTTTCCTTTGTATAAATACTATGCTTAAAAATAAGCAAAAAATGATTTTTATGTTGTTTTTGGTCTGCGTTTTAAATCAAAGCCATGATTATCAATTTCATTTTTTTAAATTGTAAATCTTGATTTAGCTAAGTACCTAAGAATACAAATATATTCATAAGAAATGAAAAGGTAAAACCTTTTATTTTTCCATATTTTGCCGCAAGTATTTTGTTTACAAGTTTCGTGAACCAAAATATATAATGGAAATTATAATCAAAATAGTAAAGGTAGAAAAGATCAGTATGATCTTCAAACAGATCATACTGATCTTATCACTAAACCCTTAAAAAGTGATTATTATATATTATGTTCAATACAATTATATATTGATTCGGCTATACTTTAATATTCTTTAAATTAGTATAAACTCAAAGTAAAAGAAAATCAACAAAAAATAGATGTGGCATAATAACTAAAAATACTAGGAGAAAAATCAACAATGTTTTCTTGTAAAAAAAAGTTTTAGCAATAAGTAAATAAGTATCAAAATCTAGCTCAAAAACGGAGTTCTAGACAATTGGAGCAAGTTATGTCACCTTGTAATACTGTAAGCCAGGGGTTTCCAGTAAAACTTTATTATCAAAAATGGGTATTGATCTTTTATCTACTATATTTATAAAGAATGTGGGGTATTTCAATATAATAAAAAAAACGACATATATATATATATATATACAAAATAAAATAATAAAAATAAATAACTATGCAAAAATGGTTCTGCTGTTCTAGACTCAGGTTTGAAAATGTATTTGACACAACTGGGTAAGTATTCTTGAGTCACTATTTCAATCTTTGAAGTCCAATATTTAGAGAATGTATAAATATTTTTGACAGTTATTTCTGAATTCATTTTTATAATATAAATATCAAAAGCGTAATAAAAAAATAAAAGTTTTGAAGAGTTACGATTGAGCTCCATCTAATTCTAAAAAAAGCTCTTTATAAGTTATCTATGTTAAACATATCGCGACGTAAGAATTATCTTGCTCTCTACTTTTTGAAAAAATTAAGTTATTGATAATGCTGTGTACCTCAGAATAATGTTTTTCTACTGTATTGAAACCCAAGTTTTAAGTAAAAAAGTTGCGAAGAAAACATGTTGTAAAAAAAATTTAATTTTCCGTCTCCTAAAGCTTTTCTTTTTTAAACCGTTTCATCTCAAAACTTAAAAATAAGGAGATAAAACAAGATAATTCTAACGAAGTGATATGTTATTGTTTTATAATATTGAAATGATATAGATATTTTTATAAATATGGTAGATGAAAAGTCAATGCCAATTTCCGCAAATAAGATTTTACTGTAAACCCAGGACTTAAGCCATTTTTTTTATGAGAATAAAAATTGTTAATGACCAAAAAAAATTAAAACGTTTCATTTCCTGGAAATTTAAATAAAATAAAAAAACTGTCTACGATCAACCCTTGGGAAACCCCGAAAGTTAATGGTAAGAATATTATTTCTGTTGTTTGATATTGAATGCACTGCTTTCTGCTTGATAAATTATATTTAAACTAAACCAAGTTTATGTTTTTTACTACATTCAGCAGGAGTTTTTTATCTTATTTGAATTTAATAATTTATGATTTTAAAAGCCTTAAAAATCAATCAAAACTCCTAGCATTAGGTGTTAATTACTATTATTAACTTATCTTAAAGTGTTAAATGTTTTAAATGTTGGCCACTCATCTCCAGATATTCCTCAATTTTGAAATGTTGGTTCTTAAATTTTATGCAGCATTTTCAAACAAATTATTTATTAACCACCTGACTAATTAGAAGGTTTCATGGGTAAAATACGTTTTAAAACAAGAAAATATTTCAGTTTCTTACATATTAAAATTATTCAACATTTCAGTTTCTTATGTACTATTATAATTGCAGCTTTATGCCCTTCACTCTAAAGATATTTATTTTATTTTTACACTGTCATACAATAAAAGTAATTCTCGAGTAACGGATGTGTAAAACGTAGATTAATATATATAAAAGTGAATTAAACTAGAAAAAGATGTATATATAAATTTTCAATATTGTGAGTGAAACTCATAACTAATTCAAAGTACCTTGAAATTGCATCCTCAACCTCTTTTTGTTAAGAGAAGCAATGGTTAGCTTTACTTCTAACCTCAAAGGTAGCTAATAACTGCACCACGGCTGCTTTAACAAGTGCAATGGAGGGGGTTGAAAATGAGATGGATTTTATAAAAATAAAGTTTTATTTTTAAAACAGAAAAGGAGCGGAAAATGGCGTTAAAATTTACACATTTTCCAGGAGGGGAAAATTTTAGAATTTTGGCTGTTAATGTTAAATAAAATGTTATTTTTAAAACATGATATCTTATTAAAAAAAAAACAAAAATTGAATATCTAGTTACATATATGTATATTAATGTATTATACTCCAGGTTTGACCGTTAGGATTTGCATAAATCATTTCATTATAAAAAGATATTTACTCTTTCCACAATAACTATTATTGACAAAAAATTTTAATATAAATCTATGCTTTTACTGGATTTCTCCAGGTATTTAGTGCTTCATCTAAAACCTATCAGTTATCCACAAGTCAGTTACTTAAAATGATTCTGAAATCAACTGTAATTTAAACTTGCAATCTAACGTATGCTGAAAGGCCTAATTAATGTGATTTCTTAAGAGAACATGTATCTAAGCACAGATGACACAAATTGGTGCTTGACTCATTTGAGTAACAAAGTGCTTTGAGGTTTTTTTGAAACGACGCGTTTATTTGTCTTTTGGCTACGCCGAGATGTGCTTTTTTATTGTAAAATTATATATTAAAAACTAAAGTTACTGTTACATTTAAAAATTATATGCAAAAATAGTAAAGATTACTTGTTTTTTTGTTAATAAAGTTAAAAAACCTGTTTTTTCGTTAATAAAAATAATAATATTTCGTTAAACTAAAGAAAATTTAAAATAAAAAAAAACCTTAAAAAAAAATAATTTATTTTTATCAGTAAAAAGTTCTCGTTATTAAAAAAAGAGTAGTGAAATTATTTAGGTGACTATTAAAATCAGACTAGGCTTTCATTGGCACGCACAGCAAATTAAACGGCACTTTGCACAATTTATAAGGACTTTTTTCAAATTTATAAGATTTTTTTTTTTTTCTAAAAATGCTTAGTGATAAGTATTTTTTTTTAAACTTTGGGTCCTAAATGACAGATTTTGGAGGCCGAACCATTAGCTACAGCACCGAATAGAATATTCCATAACTTAGAATCACTTATGGCAATATATATATATTTTTTAAAATAATCAACTAGATTAGCTCAATATTGTTACTAGTTTTTATTTAAGTATAATGATTCTATTAAAATAATTGCTTAATGAAACAAAAAACTTTTTTTTTTAGAAAGATTTTTAATTTGAGTTTTCCCCTCATTAAAACTGGGTGAGTCGTTCGTAAAATTAAAGAGGTATTACATAACAGAGGAATTACATAACAAATCCGGTAAATTAATTTTACGGATTATATATTATTATATAAATTATACAAACGGATTAAATTAATTAACAAAGTTTGCAGACCAATTCGGTATAATATTTTAAAAAAATCATTTTCCAAATGCTTTGTTATAGTTGTATTTTTAATGTTTTTAATGATTTTTTAAAATGATAGGCTAACTTTCAAAAATATAATTATACAAAAATAATAAAAGAAAAAAGTCAGGTTTATTTTAACATGATAAACTTTACTTAATAGAAATAATATTACCAGACAAAATTATATATAATAAAATATAACGGGTTGCAACAATTTGTTAATTCTTGGATTTGCAATAATTCATTCGAAAACAAAGAAAGTTTAAAAAAAAAGTAAAAATAAGAACAACAATTTGCTATTACGAAACTACGTAAGGATTAAAATTGTCTGTTTCTTAAGAACCTTCAACCATAGCATGAATATGAAAATTTAATGCTGATCGCGACTGTCGAGGTTGTAAATGAACTGCAATAACTTAAAAATAAAATTACATTATTCAATATAGTTTGTAATGTGTCAATATATTAGTTAAAACACTTTAAATAAAAGACTTAAATAACCGTTACATACCCTTTTCAATCGATGACCCAGACCAATAAGGACTTCTGCAATTATTACCGAGAAAACATTGCCACTAATATTACCTTGTATGAAAAGCAACGAGTACGGTTTCAAGAAGTTTTCTGAAGCAATTAAAAATTTTTTTAAACTAACATTCGTTTAGTAACTAAATAACCGTTATAAACAAGTGATGGCATGGAATAACTTTCAAATCCATCGTATTGTTCTAAAGAAAATATTAATTATAAATAAATATAACTTAGTTATGCACTTCTTCATTTAAAACAGAAAGTTTCTTTCTTTCAATAAAACACAAAAAAGAAAAAAAAATTTTAGCGTTTTTTTCGGGCGCCCATATCAGGCTAAGGGTACCAAAACAGATCCATATATGTCAAAAAACATTTATATGTTAAAAAACATTTATTCTAATTAATAATAATACAAATAAAAGTATTAGTAATACAAATCAGGGTTGGAAAAAACCCAGGGTTTTTTAAAAAAACCCAACCCAAATGGGTTTTTTGGGTTTTTTTAAAAATCGATCAAAATACCAAATTTTTATAATTTGTACGAGTACAATAATTTTTTTTTTTTAATTTCATAAATTCACCTCCCTATTGCTCCAATGACCATTTCAGTCAAGGGAGCAACTCATTTTTTAAAAATATTTTGTCTCAATCCTTAACATTACCATTTTTACTAACAAACAACATTAACAACTAAAATTTTTAAACAAAGGCGCTGTGTGGAGAAATAGATTGAGACAGTAATTTCAGCAGAGGTAATTTGAACCCCAACCTTCTGGTTGTGAGCCAAATGTTTTGCTACTAGTCTACTAGCACATTTTACCTATAGTGCAAAAAGGGGCTCCATCAACTATAAATGATGTTAATTAATTGCTCTAAATTAAAAACATGTTCAGAATAGTTTTGACTAAAATAAAATCAGTGTAAAAATCATGACAATTGAGTTATTCAAAGTTGGTAAGACAATATAAATGTTGCAAACTAGTTTTTTTTACTAACATGTTCAACATATCATTTCAAAAACTACTTTGCACAAGTTTACAACGTGTAATCAACAAGTTTGCAACATGATGTTGCAACCTTATAAGTTATTATCAATCAGGATGACTATGAACACTTTTTAAACATTTTTGTATCATAAAAGAAAACTGCTAGCCTAATCACTACATGTTTTTTTATCAGAACATTATACTGTCCAGCTTCCTGGAAAAGTTATCGGCCTGATCAACTGGACTGGCAAAAAATGGATTTTTGCCTAAACTTTGTTTCTAAATATATATAAAGTAAATTTTTTAAGAACCATACAGTGTCTTCGCCACCAAGTTTTTTTTTTTCCTTGAAGATGTTTTACCGGCTCAGTTTTGCAATGCAAATTGCAAACTGAATCAAAGTAACACATTATATAGCTCTATTGTGTGTGTGTTTCTTCACCTTTTAGCAACTTGATACTGATGTTAATTTTTAATCCGCTGTTCATAGTCACCCCTGTTGGTGGTACATGTTGTAAACTTGTAGCTGATGCAAAATATTCAAAACCTGTCAAAAGACAGATGAGCACGAGTGTCATTTTTACCAACAAATCTTGTCCTTGTAAAATGCATACAAGTTTTCAACATGTTCTCTCGTTGAATGAGCAAACATGTTGCAAGCTTGCTTGCACATAACTTAATTTTTTTTTAAGTTTTAAAGTTGTATGCACTTAATGACAAATCTAGTAAACTGTAGTATTTTTTTTTTGCATGACAACTTTCCATTTCTAAACTGTAAATAAAGTTTAATAATTTTTATATATAGTATTTTGCTTGTGGCTTTGTATTTTTTTTTTGCAGTTAACAACAAAAAAAAAAGAAGATCAAATACCAATATAAAGGAATATAGACATTCGGGAGGAGAATAAAGATACTAAATAACTAGTAATGTCTTGAAATTTAGTTAATAGAATGATTTTTATTTCCTTTATAAGTATTTAACTAATTTAATGTTTTAATACATATTTCAATAACATTTATAACTTGCTAAATGTTTTAAAAAAATAATAAATAACCAACTTGCTACAAAAACAGATTGATCGATTTTGGGTATATTCTAAAGACCATTATGTATATAAATACTGTGTTTACAAGAGTAATTACAGTATAAAGGTTGCACTTGCTGATAATAAAGTATTTATAAGTGTTAAAATCAGAGATATCAGTTGTAAAATAGGTCATTTTTAAAAAAACCCAAATATATTTTGGGTTTTTTTGGGTTTTATTGGGTTTTTTTAAGGTGGGTTTTTTTGGGTTGGGTTTTTTTGCCAACCCTGATACAAATATTGTTTTGTGTTAAAATAGAAACATAAAAAATACCTTAAAATCTTTACTAAATGGTCAAAATTTTGAAAGCATGATATGATATGATTGCCAACCATAAATTATAATAATAACTTAAAAGTTGGCAATAATATCAATGTTGCAAAAGCATGAAAAAAAAATCCAAACATAAGCTCTTCAACAACAGAAAGAATCACAGCAATTGAATGAATGTAGCAAATGTAAACATTTTATAAAATGTGGAGAAAATCTGTGAATGCAAAAGGCATGTTCTTGCATTGTAAGTCTAAGCGTAAGGCAAAACAAGATGTATACAAAGTTCATTCAAACAAGCAGAAGGTATGAGGTGAAATGGTAGATGGATAAAATGAATGGAGAATCTAGATTTATGAAGCAAATAATTACAAAAAATATAGATTTTGTTAAAAGTTGTATTAAAGGGCTATTTGGAAAATACTTAAAAATGAAGTTTAAATAAAAACAAGTTGGATGACTTATTTTAAAAAATTGCTAAATGAAGAGTTTGGAAAGATCAAAAAAGGTAAATAAGGTTAGAGGACCAGCAAATATCAAGTAGTGAAGGTAAAGAAAAGATATTCAAAAAGCTGAGTTAAGCAAGTCTGATAATCCTTTCAGGTTATTTGTTTTTAGGTCAGAGAAGGGGACCAAAGGTGTGATATTTATGATATTATAGCTATTTATAAAAATGTGACAATATCAAAAAACAAGTTATTGAAAGTAAAACTTTTGGAATAAATTTTGGTGTGCCTTTAAGGTTCAGAATTCGGTCCTTTACTTTTTATTGTTAAACTCTAAAGAGTTTAGAATAGGTTTATCATGAAAGCCATTTTTTGTAGTTTATTTGTGCTTGATTGCAAAATCAGTAGAAAAACTTAAACTAAGAGATCAGTGTTGGAAGGAATGGAACTAAAAGGATGTAAAGTAAAAAATGAGCTAGGAAGAAAACACTAGAAAACGACCAAGTGGAGAGTGGAGAAAAGAGCTAGAGCTAAAGAGATGTAGTGTTTCAAAGTTCTTATTAGATAGCCAGTTTTGAGTGTAGAAAAGAAGTCAAAAAAGATAGTAAAATAAATAATAGATAAAAAAAAAAGGTGTACTGATAAATTTGTTATCTCAAAGATACAATTAAGTTAGCTGCAGGAGCTGAAAAAGCATCAAGGGCACAAGTAAGGTGTACATGGGTGCAAAAAATAAGCAACAATTTTTAGAGAATAGAAATAGCTAGACTACCTGATACAGTGTATCAGGGAAGATCAATGTGTTCAGGAATATAGAGTATAAAATGATTAGTTATCAGTAGGTAAAGAGTAGAAGAATAAAAACTTAAAAGGTGCATTGCAGGTTGTGCAATGCAACACTTGAAAAAGTGACAGGTAAGGAAAGAAGATGTTCAAAATTGTATATATTTAGAGGAATAGCATTATGAGAAACATGCAATCTGTAGAAGGGACAAAACAAAAACGCTGGAATAATGATGAGGATCATGATTTTAATTGATTTCTAAAAATAATATACAAATGCTGATAACTTTTTTTAAAAAGTTTGTATATAATCTCATTAAAATTTTATGTATTAGTATTCCTTAGAAAGCTAATACAATTTATGTGCTTGATCACCAACACCAAAACTATGAAAAACAAATGAATAACATAAAAAATAAACAAAATAACATTAAAAATATATAGGTGGTTGATTTTTTTTAATAGACCACCCAGCAATAAACAAAACTAAAAAGATCAAAGTTTTTCCTATATAGCATTAATTTAAATAAAAAAGGAAAATGGCCCATTACGTCATGAAAAGTGTCGCTTAAAAAAGCTTTCCTACTTTTTCTTTTTAATATTTTGTGCTGCGTAATTTATGGACAATCCCTTAACTGGTTTACAGGTAAATCTAAAAATGTATAATTGTATTACTGGTAATTTTATTGATGATTACCGGTAAATTTGGTTAAAAAAATATCATAAAAATCTAAGAAACTACATACATTCATTTAATGAAAAACTGCACTACTCATCTATTCAACAAATAGAAAAATGAAGATATGTTTTTTCTGTTTTTATTTTTTTACTTAAGCAGTTATTTTCTTTCTGTTATTATTCTGTCTCTAGTATTTTGCTGACTTGATATTAACTGAATGTGCACATAATTATTTTGCTCATATCATAAACTTAATCTTATCAAAGTAAGTCAAAAAGGTAATAAAATAACAAATATTTTGTCTGTTTCATGGGAGGAAAAAAATCAGGGTTGGCAAAAAAACACAACCTAAAAAAACCTAAAATATATATATATATATATATTTTTTTTAAATACTCTATTTTACAACTGATAAGTCTGATTGTAACTCTTATAAATGCTTTATTATCAACAAATGCAACTTTTATACTATAAATACTCTTGTAAACACTGTATTTATAAACAAAATGGTATTTAAAACATAATTTTGAGTTCGAACTACTTACAGAATAATCCAAAAAAGACCTTTTTTTTTCAGAGAAAGGTAATTATCTATTACCTTTTTAAATCATATAGCAAGTTAAATATTAAAAAATATTATTGAAATATGTATTAAAATGTTAAACTAGTTAAATATTTATAAAGGAAATAAAAATAATTCTATTAACTAATTTTCTAATAACTAATAAAGTACAAGATATTACTAGTTATTTAGTATTTTTACTCTCATCTCATGCCTATATTTCCAAACAATGTCATTTTATATTGGTTTATGATCTTTATTTTTTTAAAGCTTATGTTGTTAACTGCAAATTTCAGTACAAAGCTACAAGCAAAACACTATATATAAAAATTGTTAAACTTTATTTGCAAAGAAAAAGAAGGTTGCCAGGCAAAAAAAAAAAATG